AAAAAACTCTGTAACCCAAAAACACAGTGTTTGTACCTCTTTGAAGTTTTTAAATAGCTCAAATATGTTTGGAAAAACACGAAGTACAAAAATTACTAATTAAAATATAAACAAAGGATGAAAAAGGTGAGAAAATTTTAAAATATTTGAGGTGTTTTCAATTCTGACTTTGACAGCCGGCATTTTCAAACGCAGCGTGCGGTGACAAAACAAAAGGCTTTTTATTTCGCTATTAAGAGCACTGAAAGTCGTCAAAAAGAGATAAACACTTTTGAATATTCATCAAGTAAGAATTTTAACTGAAATTCCTTTTGTTTCTGTTGAGAAAACAACCGGATTTGTGGCTAGAACATCGTGCGCGCCAATGTAGGTTGCTGTAAAATGTCAGACAGGCGTTTTCTTTTGAAATCTGACTCTAGTTTGAAATCTGACTCTAGCTTGAAAAGAAGTCCTTTTCAAGGACCAATTGTATAAAAATATAATATGTATGCTCAAATAAAGTGAATAATCTAATATTTAGGCATTTTAGATCGCTATAAAAGAGTGAAATAAAGTATTTCATCTTTGGTTGTTTGTCAGACGAGAGTAAACACATTGGTGACACTTTGTTGCGCATGCAGTTTTCAAAAGATAAACTGCTAAAAATATAGCTTTTATTTCACCAAATAGCAAAGTATCTTGCAGATATTATTAAAAGAGCTCAAGCGAAGTAATTCCATGATAAATAAGTGAACAATGAGACCAAAAAAGCGACTAAATTACAATTTTGGAAAGTACATAAATTTAATGGCTTCCCGCAAAAGAAGCCATTTCAGAGGAGAACGGCATTTTGTAAACTGCTCTCCTGACCTATTTTAAACTTTTCCTTCAGGTAATCGATGAGTACTTCTTAGAAAATGAGCGTACATTAGTTTTATGATGTGCTTTATTGATTTAAAAATTTTATGCGGATATATGAAGCGATAAAGTGTATTTTAGAAGCTTTTTAAATCCCTGTCATGAAGGTTCAGAATTTGCACGCGCCAAGTAACGGCATAATTCAATACACTGATTTTAAACCACATTATCTCTGAAATGAGAGCTCGTTTCAAGACAAAGTTTATAGAAACAGATATAGTATTCATTGTAGAGTATTCTACTTAGTTTTAATGCGGTTTTACTCGAAATTTTTCTTGCCAAAAATGTATATACGCACATGACAAGTTGAACCTACTGTCTTCTGAAAGTACTTTGGCTAAAATAACAACTTGAGCAAGACGACCAACAGTAGGGTCACAAAAACAGTCGAAATCATGCCATAAAATGCACGAAAAGTTCTTCTAAAAACTTAGTTTTAAACTAGATTGAACTTGCTTTAATGCTATATCATATTTCATGAAAACATGCCAGGTATTTTCATTCAAAAACACGCTCAAAAAAATCCTAACTACTCACTTGGATTTAGTGTTCATGTTTCTTGCGATTTCCCACTTCACTTTCCCGTTAGATTGAAAGAAATTGCTGTTTTTCTGGCTGAAAATCGCGCGACTTGATTTGGACAAGAACTTGACTTGAAACATATGCACACACCCTCATGTTTTACAACATATTTTATATGTAAAACTCTTTAAAAACCTCTTCTTTTTCATCCTTAAAACTTGCTGCAAAGTCCTATCTTGTGACACTTTGCGCGGTTGTCACAGGTTTTGCAAAAAAATAGAGTTTTAAAATCGAAAATCTTCGCAACCTTTTGATCAATTTTCTCGCATGATGTATCGTTTGATAGCCCGAATTTTGCACTTTATACTCGTGACCGTTGCTAGGCAACCCGATAAACACGCGCTAGACAATCGTGCCCGGAAGTTGACATGTCATCCAGGGCACATGAGGGCGCAATGAGACTTACCCTGTTCCCAATTCCAGGGCGCATGGGGGCGCAATGAGACTTAATGAGTTAACTACTACTACAGGGTGGATAACAGACGACGGTCCGATCTGGCTAACGGTCATACCAGGCTTATCACACAAGGATGTGTGACAGTATGTGTGACAGTCCATGTCCCTAAAACTTCTATAAATTTCTTGAAATTCCACTCACTCCAGTTCGCATCAAGTATGGCAATGTTTTATAACACTAAGTTTGTCAAGCATGAATCTAACAGCTGCATCAATTTCATTAAGCTTCTCTAAGGTTTGCAAGGACTCAACATTGAACAGCAAGGAATCGTAAAACTTGTGTTCTAGCTACATCTCTTTGATATGGGGTAGTTCAAGAATGTTCTTAGCATAGCATTGACTACCTCATCAGGCTGTCCATAGCATTTTCGCAGCAAAGATATTGCTTTCTCATAACCTGCATCAGTAAATGGGAGCCCATCAATGAGCTTTCTAACTCTCAGCTCAACAAGTTCCTTTAAGTAGGAAAACTTGGTCACAGCGGAAAGCTCAGCCTTATGAATCTGCGCCTCGAATTGTCCCCAAAATCGCACCCAATCTTGGGGTGTCCCCAAGAACTTGGATATAACTAACTTTGGCATTTTTACAGTACCTTGTGAAAATGTTGACTCAGATGCAGACTGCTTATTCTTGGACAACTGTTGTTGATATTCCAGATCTAGCTTTCTCTTTTCTCTTTCATAGGATAATTTCTCTGTGTGTAATTTCTCAGTTGGTTAACAATCAATCCTGGTTAACAAGTGACATATCGGATTCTGAACTGTTACCTTGGAATTATGACATCTTTCGGTGCGACCGTAAAAGTCCAACGATCTCTCGCGGCGGTGGTGTCTTGTTAGCAAGTCATAGTAATTTACGATGCAGTCCTGTTGTTTTTACAAAAAACAATAACATCGAACTTTCGGCTATTGAAATTAACACAAGAAGCAGTGGCAAAATTCTAGTCGCTGTAGTATATAGACCTCCCTGCGCCCATACTAACTGGATCTATGACATCGTCAAGTCGTTGAATGAGTGTACCTACAGCAAAGTGATCTTGCTCGGAGACTTTAACTTGCCAACCATAACCTGGCTTGATGGATCTGGATTCTGTGATTCCAGCGATTCCGCATCGTTCACGTTCTGTCAATGTCTTTCAGATAACAACCTTTTCAAACTAATCGACTCTCCCACCCG